CATTAGACAGTGTAGACTATATCGGAACTACCATTGATCTTACAGTCTCAGTGTAGTTCTTTGGAAGGTTAGAAAGATAAAGGTTGGTTGAGCTCTCATCGCCCTCAGCTCGTAGTCGCGAGTTGAACGACTCCTAGTCTAATGGTTAGTTCAAGGTCACCAAGGAAGGCGGCGGTGATTAATTACCCTTGCAAACCCGACTTCGTAACCTCGACGATAGAACCCGCGGATGCAATTCTCGGAATGGCGAACCTCGACAAACTTGGCAAACCCAAATCTAGGAGTTGTGTTAATATAAATGTCTCGGACGGGACTATAGACTACAAGATAACTCACCCCTTACAAGCACCAGTGTTCGAATCGATGATGGCTTTGGAGGTCTCCACAGGACCAAAGCGCTCTGCATACTTCAGCAGAAGAGCATCGTCCGTAGTGGGATGAAGGCCGCGGATGTACACATTTCTGTTGCCCGGAATAGGGTTAACAAGGCTCTGTTCAAGCGTCTTCATGTTCTCGGGAGGGGTAAAGACAGCCGGAACAGCGAACGGAATCTTGGGGCTGCGGTCGAGTAGAGGGGACTTTGGCTCCTGAGGAGCTTCAGCAGCCACAATCTGGTGGGGCGAGGGAGTTGTATAGGTGGATCGGTCGAACACGGTCACACGAGCACCCTGGTCTCGAGACGTCATGCTTCCCAGGAAAGGTGTAGCCGGGGTAGACTCATTAGTCGAATAAGACGAGCGGCGAATGTCTAGACCTGGAACATCTCGAGAACTGGTGTCAGTGTGTTCTCGTGCGCTGCTGGTGCGCGCCGGAGTGTAAGGCGAAAGGGCAAGCATAGGGTGGTGCTGAAAACCTCCATGAGCATAGTAAGGACCGCCATAAGGGCCCGGATAAGCCTCAGGCTGAGTGGAAGGATAACCAAAGGTAGGAATGCCAGATGCCTGGACTCCAGGAGCCGAGACAGTATGAGTCGGATAGTTAGCAGCAACATGCACAATGCGGCCGTCAGGGGTCGCCATGGGGATCATTCCCGGAATAGGGGGAAGGCCATTAATGCCAAGGCCGCCGAACTGGTGAAGAATAGCGTTCATGTTGGCATCAACAACTGTGTGGCTCTGAGAACCGTTCATGTTGACACAGTCGTGAGCGCTAGTAGCCTGGGCAGCCTGGTGAATACCTGAGGTCGGTTCCTCGGGAGTGTTGACGCGAACGGGTGCACCGTTGTCGTGATGCATGATGTTGAGAGTAGAATAACTCGATAGACTTCTGTAGAAATATGCATTGTTAGCAGGACTCTAAGAAATCAATATATAGCAGCAAAGGTGAAAAGAAATTTGCCAGTTGGGTAAAAGGAGAAACTATTCGTGACTGTAAACCTATGAAACTAAGGTTGATTCAGGGCTGAAGAATAGATGGAGAGTATGATGAGTCGAAGAATATGTGATATTGACAGATGTGTAAGTCATTCATTGTGTAAACACACGAGTGAGTGACTCGATATTGCAAGGGCTTGAGACATACCTTGTACAAGAATTAACTCGACCAAGTCTGATGGTAAGAACAGTTAGAACCTATTAATAATGATAGTCAGTGCAAAGTTAAGTTAAAAAAGACAAAATTTAAAAGAGGCTTGCACTCATGGTGTTAGTGGTAAAGTAGAAGAGTAAACAAGGATAACATAGAGGGCACCGTGATATCGATCCGACATAAAGGAAGAGTACTAAGAAAATAGTGATATGAGGAAATATGGAATAGGTTATGGGGGTTGTCGGTAGTCGTAGGGGGTGTTTGTGTGGTAAAGATTTGCCTGGTGAACCATGACATCGAGTTGCCTTATGTCGCGCTGTGTCGCCAAAGGCCAAGAAAAGGTAGTAGAGTGATAGGACGTGAAGGCTGTAGTCAAAAGTAACCATCACGACACAGCAGAGACAAAACCAACCTTGGGAAATCTGGCTGGTAATGCCAATACTGTTAGTACCAAGAGGATTGTGATGAAGCGAGCGGGTCCGAGTAAAATAGAGTAGCTAGAGAGCAAGATGGGAGAATGAAGAGATTGTGGTGATGTGTGTGCTTGGATGAGTGGATGTTATGCTGTGGAACCAAATGAAGAAGAGGAGAGAAAGAAAACACATGACAGATGAAGAGTGTTAGTTGTCAAGAGAGAAAGGTAGTTGTACTTACCTGCTGGTATCCAACTCAGAAGGTGAGGAATGAACCACAAGGTTTGAGTTGCCCAAAGGCAGTTACACAGGCTTCAGAGTATAGTACGGAAGGCGTAAGTAGTGCAGGGGTATTTGAACCTAAACACATGCGTATACTGAAGGTGCGATGCTCCCAAAGGGGTAGTTGAAGATGTAAAGTAAGGATGTTATGTAAGGATGTGCCAACTAGAGATAACAATCTAAAAATGATTGCGAGGTAGACGAGAGACGGGAAAAAGATAGAAGGGACAACGTATGATATGGTTGTGCCTGTGTGTAGTGTTGCTTCGTTCGCGTTTTGAAAGACCGGCGCAGCGCGTAATTATTGTTGAATAGAAAGAGATAATCCGAACGATGCGAGAAGTAATCGAAGTTAAATAGAAGTGCGAACGAAGTGCGAACGAAGTGCGTTACTAGGTGTGTTGCTAGGCTTGTTGCTACAGATCAAATCAAATCAGCCTCATATTCTTCTAAGATGGGAAACATGTACTTGATACACGCACGCTACATAAGGTAGTAACAAAAATTAAGGGTTGAGTATTAAATAGACACATAGGTATACTGATAAACGATATACAGATGTGTATACTTTTGCTATCAGTATAGAGATGCACTCACAATTCACTTCCGGTTGGTTATTTACCTGAGGTACATACCTACCAAAGACATACAAACGCACTTCTTATACTTCGTTGTCGTTAAATTCATAAAGGTGTTGACAATGTTTGTAAATGGTGACAACTAAAATATACACATCTACCTAACATACAATTATGTATAGGCCAGTATAGGTAGCTACCTATTAGAGGTAGTCTTAAATCTACTCATAGATCTACAAAATTACCTAACCTAAGGTACCTAACCTAAGCTATCAAACTATGTTATGTAATACCATCAATAGTTCGGGCTTGGTTGCTACGTGACGGCGATGCCTCTTGACTTAGATGGGCAGGTGTCGACTTACATATAATTACCTAACCTAGGTACCTGTACTCAGTTACATGCTGCCTCTTGGCCTCAATTCGGATACGTTGCTGTCCTCGTGGGAGTCGCACTTGCCTCTAACTTTCTTTTCCAAGAAGAATAGCCAAACCCAAATACCGGGGCATATCATTACATGCACGTAAATGCCACGTGTTGGTACCTTGATTGAACCCTTTCAATTATTTCTATCCAAGATCACAGGGCGAACTGGCACTATTACCCGCTTAGAAGTTACCCAGCTGTGTATTTGACTATTGACTCCCTGTTCCTTTGAGAAGTCTCTCCACTTGGTGTTGTCGCGTTTCCCTACATGTTAACTTTAAAAATACAATACACATAGGCACTGATTTAATTCTGCCAACATGACAAGGCATAACAGGGGCAATGGACCTGATCAGTTACGGATATATCTGTTAGTATTTGCAATACCAGATATGACTGGATTGCTAATATAAAGGGTGTTGTTTTAGGTAACATATCCTCTCGTATGACAATTACCTCCGCCCATGTAGATAAGATTTCTATAGACCTCATAGCCCGTCGCTTTTATCTGTTTGAATTATTCGGTACGTATTTAACGAGAGAAACATGATTTAGCATTGAGAAAAATCCCCGGGACTTTATTGTTGAGAGGGTCAAAATTGGGTTTAGATAGGATCTACCAGAGCTACATCCCTGAAGCTGGTATTCTTTGATGGGCAACACCTATAGGATGGTCTATATAAACGCTTGAGGAGAATACATGGTTTAGAACCAACATTTCGTGTGAGCCACGAACCAAGCTTTCCCCTTTGATGTACACATAGGGCTTCATACACACCTTTTGCTAACCGTATTCGTAGACAATTATTAAACGTAGCTTATTGGTTATTTTGAGAAATAGAGGAATTACTTTGGTCGTGTTCCTATCGGATGACGCAACGGAGTAATAGACTGGATGGTTTTTGGCTTGGTTGCTGTCCTATAATGTAGAAAAGGCTATACGAGCTTCTGGAGTGATTACGATACCTAGCATTTATTAGTATCAGCATGGATATGTTTATAGCTATTAAGACCAAGCAAGTCCCTGGTTATCTAGCATCTGTAGCATCTTATTAGTATTTTTTATTATATATATTAATCTACATCTGGACAATATTCCAGGTGGCGAAATGGCTTTGAATATCATTAGGTCTTAGAGCCGTTGTGGAATACGACGATTAGTAACGCTCTGTAATATGAATGACGCCTGCCTTCTATTTTTATCAATATTGATGCTACTATTAATAATCCAGTCCCTAGCTTAGCAAGAGGCCTTTGTAACCTTCAGTTCTTAATCCAGGTACTGCCGAAGAGGGCTGGAGTAGGAGAGGGGTCGAAATGGGGCGACTAGGGAGTACGTTTAGACCATCTCGGCATATAGAATATACATAGTTCTTACTAACATACATCCTATAATTCATGACATTATTGCCGAGGCTGAATACGATTTATTATTGGTCAATTACTTACCATACTCCATGTGTATCATATGTGGTTGACCAAATGGTTTGGACTCGACCGAGTAGACAATTTGGAAAGGGTTGGATTTCCACATGCCACGTAGTTCATCTACATGAGATGTTAGAAAACGTGTTCTGAGTCCATAGCTAATACGTGAATCAGAACCGAGAATTGAAGCTGGACGTTGCGTTTTATTTTGTAAAGTTGAAGTTTACGCGATAGTCTCAGCTGCTATTATATAGGAGCATTCGGGATTTTCACGGCGATAGTTCACTGTAAATGTTTAACTCAATCTATAGAAATCATTACGTAGCTTCCAATATATATACGAATAGAGCGCGCGGAACCGCAATAGGACGCGCATTGATACCAAACCGAGATCGTGCCAGCGTGCAACCCAATCCAATTAAAAGTCACATCTCCCTGACTCCAAGGCAAGGCTAGCAGTGAACCTCTTCTATGCAATTCCATCTATCCGCAACGCTCACCCCATCATGCATTAAAAAGCACATTACATCTCCACCGGTTCTTACGACCAGACATCCTCCTACAAGCATAGTTAGTATTGTGGACGAGTATTGAAGACGCACGAGAAAGGGTAGAACGAAAGACAAAAAATATCTTGTAGGCTGCTGTAGTGGATGTAGTAGTATTATTTACCTGGTATTGATTCGTTGCTCTCATATTCTTGACGATCTCTTCTGCCTTTGACTCGGGAATACCACGTTTCTCTGAAATAATCTGGGCTAACACGGTGTTGACTTCACGAGCCATATTTGCTGCATCACCACACACGTAGAGATAGGCTTTTTTCTCGAGTAACTCGTTGACCTCTTGAGCTCGCTCCTTTAGTCGATGTTGCACGTATACCTTCTTTGGTCCTTCTCGTGAGAAAGCGGTAATCAGCTCGAATTTGTCACCAAGGGCATTCTTGTAGTCCTACTAACGTGTGAGCTAGGGCCGATATTAATACTGGCGTTATACGTACCTCCCATTCTGACTTGTACATGAAATCTTCACTCTGTTTTCGGCAACCAAAGAAAAGTAGCGTGCGACCGACATTCTCTCCAGACTCGGCTTGCTTTGCTCGTTCTTGAACAAATCCACGGAAGGGTGCGACACCAGTACCAGGTCCGATAAGAATGATGGGCTTAGATGGGTCAGAGGGCAATTTGAAATTCGAGTGGCGAACGTGTACAGGCACATGAATACCGTCGTACTTGTTCCTTGGTCCGTTAAGTTCATAGGTGAGTCCGAATGCCTCAGGGTTGGGGTCGCCGTTTTGCTTCTGCTTGAGAGCAAGCAGGTAATTGGTAGCCACACCCTTGAAGGGATCAGCACGGCCGGGGATTAACTGGTTCTCAACAACAGCAGTAATGGATATCTTCTTGGGCTGAACTAGCGAGGACGATGAGATAGAGTAGTACCGAGGTTGAAGCTTAGTGAGACCTTCAATAAAAGCCGAGAATGGGACATTGTCCCACTTTTGTCCGTTGCTGACGACGCTCAAGGTTCTGGCAATGTTGTAGTGATTCTTGCTAATTTTGTCCTGGAAGTAGTCCTTGTCACTGCCGAGCTTGGCCATTTCTGCTTTGGTAGCATCGTCGGGGGCAAATGCGGCTAGCGTGCCTAGGAATTGACGAGAAACAGGTGCACAAATTTCAAGATGGTATCGAATAATGGCGTCGTAAGTGGTAGGCGTAGGGAATGGTACTTTAGCTGTGGGTTCAAGAGCCTTGACGCTAATGACGGTATCCTTTTTATCTTCCAGTCCTAGGATGCTAACGAATTGATCAACCTCCTGACCGGCATTGGTGGGCCAGACAGCAATGTGATCGCCAGTTTGGTATGTCAGATTAGAGCCACTGATATCAACTTCCAGATGCAGGCAGTTTCTATCCTTGACGGAGAACAATTCCTTAGATTCGGCAATGGGTGCAATGTACGGGTTATGAGCGTTGAAGGGACCTTTAGCAGTTCCTTCGAGATGCATCTTGTTAGGTTCACCTAGGTAGACCTCGTGGGAATCCTTAGTAAGACCCTCGCGCTCGACAATGCCAAAGATGGGCTCGTAGACGGCTTCACGTTCTTCAAGACCCATCTTCTCTGCTAGCGCAGCCCACATAGGGTCCTTCCATGCCAAGAAGTCTTCTTCCATAGTACCAGCACCGTCGTCACCTTCTCCAGCCTCACCAATTCTGTTGGCACCCAGTTTCTCTAGGGCCTTGTTGACGTTACGGACCATGGAGTTGTAATGCTCATAGGTGTTATTTCCTAGACCGAAGGCAACATAGTTGAGATTTCCGAGAGCGGGGTCTGAACTTTGGGAGAAGGACACGTCATCGCCAGTTATGAACTCGTAGAAGTCAACAGCATTGTCGGTAGGCTCTCCTTCACCATACGTAGCTAGAACAAACATAACGACCTTGTCGGAGGGGATCTCATCGAGGTTGTCGAAGTCATAGTCTTCGAGATCCGCTACCATGGTTTCTAGACCGAAGCGACTCTTACCCTCCTTCGCCAATCGGGAGGCGTAGTCCTCGGCGGTACCCGTTTGAGAACCATAGAAGATGACGCAGTTTTTGCCGGATTCCTCCATCTTCTCAACAATGTTTCTTGTCCTTCCTGCCTTGAGTCCATTTCCGTTGGCAAATGCATTGGCATATGGATCTTTGGTAACACCCCAGTATTTGCCCTTGGTAAAGTAGGCAGCCGTGCCAACGAGGATGGCGGCCAGGACAATTATGTCCAAGGTGTCCAGTTGAGCCATCTTGACAGCTTATCTACGGAGAATAGACTTGTTTCTTGAGTTCTGTCACGGCGAGAGGATGGCGCCTCGGAGCGGTGCGGCAAGCAGAGAAACGGAACCACTACGTCGGAGGTCGTTCTAGGTTATGCGACTAGAACACTGATTTAAGGCTTTTCCCTAGAGAGGCGTTGCAGCGGTGCAACGTGTCCGAGTGCGTCGTCGGCCGAAGGAAGGAAGGAACGGCAGGTTTGGGGAACTCCTAGGAATTTCTCAGCTCGAGAAAAGCCAGGCTAGGTTCTATGTGCGACGGGACGGGGCCGCGGCTCTAGCAATAAATACTTAAAGAGAGAAGCCCCTGCTGGTGAATTGCGGCAAGGTACGAACACGACGGAATCATACGATTACGCTAGGAAAAAAAGAGAGGGAGCAAAGCCCTGACTTTGAATTGTGTGCGTGGCAAGGCCTTGCGGGTTAGGTAGTTGTGTGTAGATAGGTATGTATGAAAGAGGAACCGGAGGAAATGTGTGACTTGTAATGGTGGGATTTCTTTTCAAGATAAGCATAAGCGCGGCTACTTGTCTAAGAGCCACTATGTACATAACTCTTGCATGCTGCTAGCCTAGCGAATACTTCCCGCTTACTTGTACCCAGCTAAGTACTAGGAAAATTTAGCGTAGAGTTATTCAGGTGTTAAGCTCCTTTAGACCCTCCGAAATTGCTATGGATGCACGGATTACCCTAAGCAAAACCCTTAATAAACCTTTACTACATAGTATGTAGGCCCAGGTACCTTAGGTACATGTATGTAAGATCATGGATGTACATATTGAATGTACACGTTTTCCTTCTGTGCATTCAGATACGGATTAGTTACATACACTAAACTCCGAGATTCAACATTGTCTTTTTGTGGAGACCGCGACATATAGGTACCTCAATTTCCTCGACATCGGACGTTCTTCATTACCGCGTCGCAGGTTTTATAGCCTCAACAATGGTGGCTGCAAGAATAACTTCCCCGAGAGCCCGACGCGAAGAAAAAGTAACCCTTCGAAGCGCGCCGAGCACCGAATCTTTCAACGGGCTTCGGGACGTCCAATCGGCTACCGCATGTGTTATTGTTCCCAAGTTCGGCAATTCGCAGCCCGCAGCAAACAAGGTATTGCTATAGCCTTCTGGGATGTTCTATGCATACCTATCCTCTGATCCCCTAACTTAACATCTTTTTATCGCTCTTCGGCTAGTCTCCTCCTTTTGGCCTATCTGACTCGACTCCTTTTGGTACGAGCCATTTTAACTTATAAGGGAGACCCAGTACCTAGTTTTTCTCTTCTTAATAGTCGTTTCTTTTTCTATAAATTTTCTTTTCTCGAAAAGCGGTCTGCATGGTATGACCTGTAAGCCCTAACCATTCAGCTTCGTAGGATCAAATATTTTGCCTCCTAGATGCCTGCTTACTTCATATCGGTGTTAAGAAGAGTGAGCACACGATGTCCGAATAGATAGGCTTTTTTGGTATAGCATAATAAGAAACATGGTGTCTCACACTCTTTTGCACCGACGAACTACGATTATAAGCTCCGTGATGACCGGAGCGGCGGGCCCGCATATTGTTCGGACCATCCGAGGGAAAGCGGTAATCTTAATCGGTGAAATTATACCTTACCTTCCATTACTGTTTCATCCGTCCGGGTTAATCGGGAAAGAACACTTTAGTTCCATGGTCTGCAGCTGCATAGTTGTATAGTAACTTGCGGCGTGTGGGGTTCAAGTTGTTATTTTTGTCTTTCTACCTAAGGCATTAAGTCCTTATATATATAGCCCTACCTAAAGTTCCTAAACATCCTAAACATCCATTGCTATGCGCTTCTGTACGTCGCACCAATCAATACGTCGTATACTACAGATTTACAAGAAATATAATTAGTTTCTCCCCGCGAGGCTGAGGTAATCCCACCACATCCTACTCCTACTAGCTAGGTAGTCAACCGATAATGCAACTATCTCCTAAAATCTCGGCCGATGCCGCGATGTGCCTTGCCAGATCGATCACCCCCACGGCTATTACCAAATATTCTATAGTTCTAAGTCGCCATGTACAATTTACTATGTACTTGGAATCAACGGGTTCCTATAGGAGCTTCTTACTTTGTAATAAATATCTCATGATGACATACTAATCTTACCCAAGACTCAACTGCCAGAGCTTTCTTCTTCAATGCCTCGCTTATCAAACGCGATGAATTATTAAATATATCATCTCCTTCACGGCCTGTCTCATGTCTTACCCCTACCCCCCATTCTACCCCCCATTCTACTAGGATCCCGTGCTGAGAATATCGATATTACCTACTAAACGTACGTGGAACAGGTAGCAAAAGCTACCTAACGCTGTTTGCTCTGAGTATCTAAGGTACTTTACACTACCGACCTTTTTGGAAGGATGGGGAGAGATTTCCGATCGAGATGCGGTACCTATGTACGTAATTCATTTTCGGGATCTTTTTATATGATAATATATACATGCAAGAATAGGAGGAGTATATTGTTCGATACTTACCATAAGGTACCATACATTTTGCAAGACCCGAAGATGTTTACATAGTACAAGGATAACCCGACCGCAAAAAGGCTGGGATTGCACCATACGTCAAGGTTGTATGCACTTAAAGGCTCATAAGCCACGTGGTGTGCTCATACAGTACGTGAAATTTCTATCGGATGTACGGGGCTGTACCTGAAGTCCCTGAACCAGCCAGCCAACCTCCCGCTGGCGGTCTTGGGTGGATCATTATAGGATATGGCCCTTGCAGAAAGACCCTTGTCCTGCATAGAGGTCGAGCTACAAAGACTGTGATTGACCCAAGTTCTTTAGGGTGGGACTTCAGGAGAGGGATACAGTACGTACAGTATCAACATCTAATTGGTAATGGAGAGTGGTAGCCGACGAAAGAAGAAAAAAAAGACTTCAGGTCGACGATTTTATCTGGCTATGCTAGCTCCACGAGACAGATGGGCTAGCCAGTGAGACGAAAAAGTTAGTCGGCCATCAGGCATTGTTGGACGAAATTCGATTCCAGAGATGCCCATTCGCATTATGCAGTGACTTGCGGCATGGGATATCCTACATCACATTTTTAGGCCATACTACGTAAGTCAGATCAGAAATAAGAGGACCTGGAGGGGAAGACGGGAAGAAGAAGAAGGGAAGAAGGGAAGAAGGGAAGAAGGGAAGAAAATAGACTGGAACCGCCATTCATCATTAATCGTTGTCCACTCAAAATACTATTATCATCATACATAGCATCGTCAAGCTCTCTTCTCCTCCACTCGTTAACAGCATCAGCAAAACCCCAGTCCCACCAGACCGTATTATTGGGGTCTGCGAATCCTGTCGTATCTCATTATATTATCATATCATGGGCATCGAAGCTCAACAATGGGTGAGTGGATTCCGCGCTTCGTCTCCCCGGAGATATTTCGAGTATGCCGCGCCAACGTATATGCGATATATTGAAATGTTAGCTACCTACCTTTAGGTACTTAGGGTATATGACGTTTGACGCTTAACGCTTACAATGCTTAACGCTTAACGCCTGAGGCTTGACGCTTCAACGCTTGATAAATGTTCCCACTTTCGGGATTTTGTTCTACTATGTACAGTTTCACAAGGCGAGGGGGGCTCCAACATATTTCATATTTCCCCTTCCCCTTCTCCTGCGCACTGATGGTCGTCCGTTTTATCTGTTTTGTCTTTACTGACAACGTTGTCGCACTACCTAGCTCCGTCCCAGACGCTGCCGGAACACTTCCACGATCAGTTAAAGTTCTCTGCGCGACTATCTCCTCCGCGACTTAATGCTCACGACGAAAACGAAAACGACAACGCCGATGACGACGAAGATGACAATGGCGGCTGGGATAATACTCTTAGACCTATAGCCCTCGATTCCTCTACTTCTCGAGCCATTGCGCACTCGCGCGAGTCTTCGCTTGACAAATTGCAGTCGGGTGCACTCGCTGGCATCCCCGAATCGCCCCAATCAGCATCGTCCCCCACTACATCCCCTGGCCTACGTGCGGCCGCGTCGCGTTCTGGCCCAGGCGGCATATTCGAGCGTCTCGTTGACCCCAAGGCTGCATCGTACGGACACCATCGTCAGACATCTATTGTTCATGGCATCCAACATTCGAGGAATGGGAGTCTCGCAAGCTCGTCTTCGAGTCCTCTCAGTCCGCAAATGATAGCAGCCGCAGGTGCTGGGCTTCTTCCAGAACGGTCAGACATGTCAACTATCCACCGCTTAGATTCGGAAATGTCAACAGCCTCGATACCTACGATGGCCTCACGGCCGACGACTGCCTTGTCGGGCACTACCGCCAACGCATCCATTCACTCAGAAAGAGCACAATCCAGCCAGGAGAATAATGTTGGAGGTACTATTACTCAGAAGAAGCTCGAGCGGAAGCACAGCAAAACTCGGCGTGATCATTCACATCACCACTCGCATTCGTCGAGACATCACAGGGATGAACCGAAGACTGTAGGCGAATATGCCATGCATGTACTATTCACATCAGTCAGTAGCGGGTGGTACCCAATATCCGTATAATACTTGCTAATATAGGTTAAGTTTATTGCTATGGCCGAAGACAAACTACAGGAATGCATCACAGTGCCTTTCGACCCCGAACCACCAATCGAGCAGATATGCGGTCCTGGAGCTGATCCAGCTTTTGACCGCTTTATTGAGGCTCTTGGGCACATTGCAAGCCAGAAACCAAGACCACTCATCGATTCTATAATGCTTTGGCGGAAACATAAGAGCGAAGCAGCCAACGAGGCACGTAGTCTGCTTCACCAGATGAAATCCAACCTCCCGGCGGCGTCTCTCGTCAGGCGTAATACAGAGCCATTGCAGCTCATCACCGGGAATCCTGGAGATGCGACATCCGGCATGCCGCACGCCCTCGCGGAGAAGCAGAACGAAGCAGCACATGCCGAGCGTCGATCTATCGTCTCTATTTTTATATTGTGCCGGGTCCTTCTGGAAGTCATCACCCAGAGTAGCCTCAGTTCCATTACTCTCGAGATGGAGGATAAGCTTGAAGCCATTATATTTGGCCAGCTAAAGATTGCTGACGTAGAGCAATTGTACATCTCCCCTCTCAAGCTGGCCAACTGGAACCTTTTCGCTCAGTTGCTTGGTGCCATGAGCGTGATCAATTTTACCAGCGTTACAGATCGATTTATTAACGATCTCGATCGGACCCTCCAGGAACTTACCGTAAGGAACTCGACATCTCAGAACAGGGACCCCGAGGGCCAAGTGGAGTTGGTGCTGGGAGGTATGAAGCATTTGCATATAAAGATTGACACCGACGAAAGCTGGGACCAAGCCTGCGACTTTCTTGTGTCCCTAGCTAAACTGTTTGCTCGATCCCACGGCCAGAAGGTGAAGGCGGCGTTCTGCCAGATATTAGATACGCTGCTCCTCCCTATCGCAGCCAAGGCTACTAACAAGCATTTCTCTTACCTGAAGTGGTCCGAGGTGCTTAGCAATGTTAGCCCTCGCCTGGCTACCATGTTTGTAAAACCGCGCCATTGGCAGTCTGCTTTCCCGTTAACAGCAACGATGCTCTGTGTATCGTCTCCGGAGAATCTGAGCAACCAATGGCTGCAACTAATTCGAACAGTCCAGCCGAGACTTAAAGATCGCAATATGCGTCCTGTGTGCCTGCAAGTCATCTCACGGTTAGTATGGGCTTACTTATATCGAACTACCAATACTATTGCTGGGGCTGGGCGAAAACTAGACGAAGTAATGCAACTCGTCTTGCCTGCTACCAAGCGTACATTTTCAGCTGCGGATATAGCTTCCACGGGGCCATTGATACAACTTATTAGAATCATTGGCTTTAAATACCCAGAATACTGCTGCGATAGTATTATTTTTCCTTTAATAAATGCCGACCTGATTCAGAATAAGGATCTTAAAGTTGAACAGCTAGAGCCGGACAAGATAGTCATCGGGATCAGGGCATTTCTCGCAGTCATATCGGACTTAGAAAAGGGTGAACGGCCTCCATTTCCTCAGCATTATCCCCTCCCATCTGCTTCCGATCGGGCTCCTCCGAGTTCACCAGCATCGGCTTCAACTTCTAGCATGATGCCCACAAGCCCGCTCGCATACGACCGCGACGAATCCCTATCGCAACCCGTGCAAATCGGCGCACTGGGTGACGGCGCAAAAACCCGCTATAAACAATTCTCGGAAGTTCTCGGTAAAATTACCATCATTTGCGATAATACCTTCGGAGGCCAGGCTGCGCTTGACGAGAAGTTCAGTAGCCCAACAGGGCCGAAGACGCCCATCTCTGAGACTTTCAACTTTTCACGACGCGACGACCATCCAAGTCCTGCTGATCAAAAGCAAGCTTTCTACGAACTTCTCCATGTTGCTGTGCAGGCCCTGCCTCGCTGCCTCCCTGCTGATATACCTTTTAATTCACTGATTAATCTTCTCTGTACGGGCACGGCACACGTACAGCATAATATTGCTGAATCTTCTGCCCAATCTCTCAAATCTATTGCCCGGCAGTCATATGCACACCAAGTCACGGTAGGATTCGCTCGGTTTATATTCAATTTTGATGACCGCTACTCTACGATGTCTGATGGGGGGATGCTTGGACCTGGCCATATCGAGAGCACTTTACGGCTTTACGTCGAGCTGCTGCAAATATGGAGAGACGAAATACGACAGAAAACTAAAGATGCCGCGTCTGATATTGGGGACCTTAATGGTACCGATAAACGGGGAATGAAACTAGATTTGTCTAGCATCTGGGCCGAAGTCGAACACGTAGAGGCCCGCGGTTTGTTCTTCCTGTGCTCCCAATCGCGTAGGGTACGACACTTTGCGATCACGGTCCTTCGGCTGATCGTCGAGTTCGATGCCGCCCTAGGCAAGGACAGTACGCAAGAGGGAGAAACTGTTCGGCTCATTGATATCCTAGAAAATGATTCGGTGCAAGTGATGAATTTCAAGGACGAACATCTATCCGTAGCAGAACGAAGCCGACTCCAAAGAGGCATGCAGAACAGCAACAACAAAGGGGCCCTAATTGAGCTCTGCACCAGCGACGTTTCATATGACACAACTCTCTGGTTTAAGATCTTCCCTAATTTTATACGGATTGCTTATGATCGATGTCCCTTCACTGTGACTATCGGCCGAGATCTAGTGTGCAACCGAATTCTACAGATGTACAAGGGTATAGTTGTTCTATCAGAACCGACTCGGGGTCTCTATTATGGATCCGACCCTGGCAGTGCCAGATACACGGGAAGGACACCGACGACGCAGCCTGACGTGCTCGTTGAACAATGGAAGCTGTACTTGACTTTTGCCTGTACGACTTTGGCCGACTCTGGCACTACTATAAATGGCGTGTCGCAAAACAGCCAGCATGCGCGGAAAGTATCCAAAGCTGCCGACAAGATTGTATCGGCTAGGACGCTCTTCAAATTCTTGATACCGTTGCTCTTGGCTTCTTCGGCTTCCGTTCGTGAAGCTGTTGTGCTTGCTATGGGCTCGATCAATATTAACATATATCGAACCTTACTCGAGGAACTACAGGGACAAGTATCCCGATGTAATGACGAGGCACGCGCCAGGATACACCAGCGAACCAACAGTGGCCCGCGTAGAAACCGGAAAACGGACCTGTTACGGACAGAGATCACTTACGTATATAAGTTGACTTGCCACTTTTTAAAGGAGCCTGAGGTTTACCAGGATGATTGGATCCTCAATAATCTTTGTACGTACACGAAGGACCTAAAGCTCTTCCTTATGGATGGCGAGGTTCAGATGGATTGGGAGTTTCAAAAACTAAGGCGCCACTACTGCGGCCTAGTTGAAGGGCTTTTCGAGGGGGTTAACCGTACGAAAGACCCATCTCGTTGGATGACGTTTGAGTCGCGGAAGTCCTCTTTCACCTTGATGGAGGACTGGTGTGGATTCTCGCCAAATCAGATGCAGATCCGCCAAAGAGAAGATACGATGAGACAGTCATTGATTGACCAGCAATCTCTCGGCGAAAGGGGCACTATTACTGCAGCTATGGAAATAGAAAAGAGAAATTTAAAGACAGCAGCTCTGAGTGCTATGGCAAGCCTTTGTGCTGGTCCAGTCAGTGTAACCACCGAGAGCGGTGCTACGCTTCATTTCGACATGAGACGGATGCTGAACTGGGTGGAATCGATTTTCAGCTCCGGAAGTGACCGGGTCAATGTTATAGGGAGAAGAGCCATAAAAAACCTGATCGTTTATAACCAGGACCATCCCTACCTCTTGGAGCACTGCATCGCGCGGTGCTACCTCACCGAAGTGCCCAAGGTGCTTGAAAGTTATTTCACTGTGATTACCGAGGTGTTACTAGAGCATCTCGACTACCCGTCTCCATTCTGGAAATTGTTAGGACTATGTCTGTTTACCCTAGGAAGCGACCAAAGCGATATCCGATCCAAGTCAGCCCACGTTCTCAGGGCTCTCGGGGAGAGGCAGCAAGCCGCACAGAACTCCAAGATCCGAGACTTCGAGATCAGCATTGCGGATAAGACTAAGGCTGTCTACAAGTTGGCCCAGTTCGAGATTTCTAAACGTCTCGCGAAGCAACATCCTGAACTCGCCTTTCATATCTTTTCCGAGGTTACACTTTATTTCAAGAATCTCCCCCCAGGTGCGCAGCGAAATGTCGTGGCCGTCATCTTGCCCTGGATTCAAACTATTGAATTAAAGGTCGATCCAAATGGTGGGCCTACGGCTCAATCTTACGTGCTCCTTGCCAATCTTCTTGAAGTTACCATCAAGTCCAGCGCCGCACTTCATAACGAGGTGCAGGCGCTCTGGCAAGCACTCGCCACCGGTCCGTTTCCTGGAAATGTCCGGCTTGTGCTTGATTTCATCATTTCTCTCTGTTTGGAACGGAGAGAGCAGAACTTCGTCGAGTACGCCAAGCAAATAGTAGTCTTCTTATCAAGCACTCCTAGCACGCCGGGCATTAAAGTAGTAGAGTTTCTGTTGATGCAGATCACTCCTAAAGCTATGGTCCCTAACGAGAAGAGGGATATTGTTCCGTCTCCTCCTGATCTTAGTCAACTACAATTACCTTATTGCGCCGATTTGTCAGAAGCCTTGCCCGTCGGAACCAAACAGGCGGGCTTTTCCCTGGGACAGTTATCCCTGATACTCTTAGTTGATTTGATGGTATCACCTGTGCAACTCAATACCGACAATCTGATAGTCTTATTGCAAGTCATTACGGTACTTTGGGATCATTACACACCTCTCGTTCAAGAGCAAGCTCGGGAAATGTTAGTTCACTTGATCCACGAGCTTGTTGTTTCAAAAATGGATGAGGGTACTCCCACGGAAACAAAAAAGTCGGTCGAGGACGTGGTTGATGCAATTCGACGCCACGATCGTGCTGTTGTCTGGGGTTACGAAGAGAGTAACGGCAAAGTAGACGGCCGTGATAATAAGGTACCTCAGAGTATGGAACATCTGACCGCGGAAGTTGTCAAGACGTTTGAAATCACTTTCCCGGGAATCAAAGAACAGTGGAGTCGTCTATCGCTAACTTGGGCAACTTCGTGTCCTGTTAGGCATCTCGCTTGTCGTTCATTCCAGATCTTCCGCTGTATCCTTACCTCGCTCGACCAGCTGATGCTTGGCGACATGCTTGCTCGATTGTCTAATACCATTGCGGATGAAGATACTGAGATCCAGACATTCTCTATGGAAATCTTGACAACTCTGAAAACCCTCATTTCGAAACTCGAGCCGGAGAAACTCGTATCCTTCCCCCAGTTATTCTGGACGACATGTGCGTGCCTGGACTCGATTAACGAGGTCGAATTTCTTGAGGCAATTGAGATGCTCGATGAGTTCTTGGAAAAGCTTGATTTCCACTCCCCGGGCATTCGGAATACTCTTATGGAGGGTCAGCCTCCAAGGTGGGAGGGCTCATTCGAAGGCGTCCAGCCTTTGCTCTATAAGGGTCTGAGATCGTCTCTTTGTCTTCAGCCCACACTTAACATTTTAGATAAGCTTGTTCAGCTACCAAGCTGTGATCTCATCGGAAATGACAACAGGCTATTCTTTTCCATCCTTGGTAATTTTCCACGTTTCTTGCAGGCCATGGAACATGGCCCTATCGACGAAGGAACACTGCAAACTGCGGAAATCCTTTTTGCGGTGGCCGAGGCGCAAGGGTTGTCTTCGATTTGCGCGGCTCTGGGAGCTTTTATGGAGTCGAGATACCCCTCTGGTAAAGATTTCATGATCCAGCTTCTTGCTGCACTTCGTGAAATCTTCCTACCACAGCTTGACTTCCAAATGTTAACAATGATACTGGGTTTCCTCACAAACAGCCTACCTTCGGTGAAGATCATGACTATGAGGCTACTTTGCGTTATCATTCCCGAAATTGAGATGCGCAAACCTGAAATTGCTAGTCACGGTTCCGACTTGATTTCCCCGCTCTTCCGACTTCTGCAGACCGAGTATTGCATGGAAGCGCTAGATGTGCTCGACAATATCATGACCATGTCTGGTACTCCGATGGATAAGCATTACGTCCGTATGAGCATGACCAGCGCGGCATCCAAAGATAGGAAAGACTACGAGACAACTCAGAGTCTATTTGGTATTCCGGAAGACTCTGGCTGGTCGATCCCAGTCCCGGCAAAGAAGACGGAAAACACACGGGCTAATATACATGCTGCGTTCTATATGTGTCAGGCAAACCCCGAGGATGGCGCGGCCACAGACCCAACACCAACACCAGAGGTCGAATTCCATGCTGACGATTACCGATACGGTTATTTCGAGATGCCAGAACGAACGGATACCATGATGTCGGATGATGTCCAGGGCGACGGCCAGATGGCCGACTTAGTAACCAAGCTAGATAGTCTAGACGACTTCTTCGATGATATGTCACAAACGTCCCCTAGTGAGGGTCGATCATCAAGAACGGTGACGGAATTCTCGCCCGAGAGCTACGAGTCCGGTGCTCGCCTCTACGACGACGTCTTACCCATCTTACACCAAGCTTCGACCAATACCTCATTCCAGAACGGCTTCGTAGACCGGATGCCCATGTCGAAAGAAATCAAGCCCAACACCATGAACCCAGGTGCCTTCAACCTCGCTGCAATAGCCCGGCCGGGACTACACTCACGCTCGATAACCTCGCCCTCAGCACCGACGTCGTGGACCCAACCCCAACTCGGCGAGCTAACCTCCGACGACGAACTAACGGAAGAAGTCTTCTCCGACGGCGACGACGACCGCCCACCGAACGGCGCGCCGGAGAGCTCGTTCTTCCTAGAGAACATGATCAAGCCGATCGCGCAGACGACGAGGACGCATATGCGCCGGCTTACGGGCGGCGGACGACGCGACGCCGAGAGGCAGCGGGAACTATTCCGCGCGCGCCAGCAGCAGATCTCGCCGCAGGTGCCCAAGGTGCCGAACTCGTTCTTACCGCACAAGGCGAGCCCGTCTCATGGCGATATGCTATGAACGTCGAGATAGGATATATGTACCTAATGTGGGACGAGAGCACGAGTATGTTGATCTATTAATTGCAGACGCTGGGACATACGTGATATAATTGGCATTTTACGGGTAACGTAGCGAACGGCCTGATTTGCGGTGGGGAGTAAGTAGTATGATATCCATCTTCGTGTGTGTGTGTGTGTGTGTGTGTGTGTGTGTGTGTGTGTGTGTGTAGGGAATTGTGTCCCTGGAAACGTTGTATATCTGTCGTGTGTAGAGTAGAGACGCTATTCGTGCATTTGCATTGCGGCGAAGTGTTACTCCGTATATGATATAATTTATTTATGACCCCTGACTTGGATGCTTTCGTGATGATGTCGGGACCTAAAGGTTAAAGTTGAGGTTGTGAATAACACCTAATTATTGCATATGATTGGATAGACGTTATTTTACTAGTGTAGAAGCCGGGGTTTAAACCTTATGTATTAGAACGTAGTGGATCCACTTGGACTGCCCTTTCTACCTTTCTAACAAGCTTACATAAGATACTCTAATGTACAATACAGATCCCTATTGCATGAACTAAGCCAAGTACGAAATTGTGGGGGAGCGGTCAGAGTCGGCAATTCAAGATATTTTCTGGATGCGACATCGAGTAAAAGACAAAGCTAACCTACCTAAGCTCCTAAATTCCCATAGTAAACCCTAGATTCGATAATTACCAGCCGTTTCGTCCAGAGCGCTTCTGTCATTGAGTGCCTAATAATCATCCTGATGATGCCGTAGTCAAGCGCGACTCCCTTAAACCATATAAAATGGCAAAGCGCAAGTCTTACGGAGGCGAAGGAGGCTATTCGGGGAAAAAGCAAAAGACCACCCACGTGCATGATCCCCCTACCTCTGAGGATGTATATACCGGAAGACAACTTCGTGAGCTGCTATCTTTCGAGCAAGACCTTCGGAAGGCTAGGCACGGTATGTTGGTTCGAGCTCAATTGCAGCTATTCATTATAATACGAAATGCTAATATTCTCTGATCTTAGGTCTCCAATCGTTCAAAAACCTCCTCGATTGCATCGTCAACAACGAAGACAAGGATTATGAGAAGCTTCAAATACTACAGGAGTTCTTGGACTCGGTGAAGCCACGAGAACAGGATGACGAAGTCCCCGTGTATCTACCAGATATGATGGAATCGTGGAGCATGGCTTCACAGTTAAATAACGAAAATGTCATGTCCGCCGTCGCGGTTGTCCTCGCGCTTCTTCTCAAAATTCTCTCCGGGAAAGTGAATTTGGTGTCATATGGTTTGGGGATATGTCGGACTCTCGTTCAGAAACGGCAGCAAGAGCTGATTGCTAAAAATCTCTCGGCTGACAACGGCAAAGATTTCATAATATCGCCTACGTTAAGGCTTCTCAGAGAAGCGGTATGCTTCGATGGTGGAGCTCTTGCAGCCCCGATATTCAGAGCCAGAAATAATACGTTTAAATCCCTCGCTAGGAATATAGGTCTTCGGTACCTAGGAGAAGGCGTAGAAGACCCTAAACGACCGTCTGTCAGGACAAATGCGATACGGTTTCTTCTAAGTAGCTTGAAGCTTCTTCATCTTGAAGCGAAGCGCGATCTATTATCCCAGAAGGACATTGTGGCGGCGCTTATGAGGCACATCAGAAAGGACCCCCCTTCATTAATCTATGAAATCTTAGAAACACTAAGAGCTTCAGTTATTTTAGACAGGAAGCTGCCGAAGGAGATCAAGATTAGAATCCTAAATGCGCATTCGCTTATCAGGATAGCGGAGCTCTATGGTTATCCTGAAGTCCCTACCGAGCATGAGAGTGAATCAGAGCGCGAGCGCCCAACAGTCGAGCAAGCAGCTCATGCGTTCTTGACCGCTGCTTGCACTGATTCCGATGCTGGTGTTCGTCGATCGGAACATGGTTATTACCCCGAGGGCGTAGATCCCAACGCAATACCATCAGCGGTCAACGATGATCAACCTGTGGATTTTGGTATCGATAGCATTCCGTGGATGGGCAAGTTTGAGAACGATGTACCCGTACGGAATTCGCTGTTAGCAGAGTTCATTCAGACATTACGGCCGTGGTCCAGCACGAAGCAGAATGAACTTCTAGTAGCGATTTTTGAAACATCGCCGGAATTGGCTGCCAACTACTTTTGTCACAAGAAGTCGTTCGCATTTGACCCAAAGCTGACGGCTACTTGGATTGGTTACGCCACGTTGCTTTATAATGTTGTTCAGCTACCGATCCCCTCTTGGTTTGGACACGCCAATGGCTATGCAAGAATCCCTCCCCCTACTTCTGTGGTGCTTGGAAACATAATCCCATTACCCATGACACCGAAAGCTATAACTCGATGCCTCTCTATCAAATCTAAGTTGGCTTCCTTCTACGCCATCCGTCTCCTGATATTAGCTTTGCAAAAGCTCGGCCGAGCTCTGGAGATGTATCGAGAGGCATCGTCGTCATCTGATTCTCTTTGGGAAGAGGCAGCTCGTCGGCTCTTAGGTGAATTTTACCAAAGAATCCCAGACATCAAGGATGTTATCAAATGTTATCTTGCCATGGAGCAAGATGACCTACTCCAACGGCAAGCCGCAAGCCGCTTGATATTACTCTATTACGAAGTCATCCCCCAGGTCGCCTTAAGAGCAAAGTTTGATGTCTCACCAATACTTTCATCTACTATCAAGAGAGTTGAGGCATCCGATAGAGCAGATGAAGATATAGTGATGTCTCTATTAGAACTCGAAAACTTATGCGCAATTGCGAAATACTCCCCAAATATGCGGTGGTTTGCTCGAACCTCCGATATACCACACTCTCCATTCACAACCCTCTTAAGATTATCTGTCGAAAAGACAACTCGATTATCTAATGAGAGCTTAGATGGTGTCTTATATTGGGTTGCTAGTGAACATCAATTGGTAGAAGACCAACCAAAGTCTCCGGGGCTATATCCCTTAATTGCAGCATTAAGGAACCTTGAAACCGTCGATTCAGCAATCTGGATATTCCTGGATAACTGTATCGAGCGTTGTGCTAGGACACCGGTCAAATACCTTGAGATGATTGAAGAGCAACTAGATAAATTTAAAATCTCTGAAGACGAAGATACAGTTACTTGCCCTCTCATGATGACGATTGCGGAGCAGATTCCTTTTTTCAGTTCATCATCCTCTAGCAAGACCACATTGAAAGCATTTGTGCTGTTTCTCTCGGAATACCTCGGACACTCACTTGCCGATGGTGTAAGCCAGCCTTTCATAGAGGCTTCGAAGGAGCTCTTTTCTATTGGCTTTACAGATCAGAAGCTCAAAGAAAAGTTGCGCATCCCAAAAAGGAAGAAACTCATACCAGAATCGCAAGAATATTACCCTAATCACAATGCCTTGCCTCTTAATGGGTGGGGTAACCAAGTTATTAAGGAAGTGGACAGCAATTCAATCGCACAAATCAGTCCTCAGGACCTAGAACAGAGGCTGGCAGTGCCAATCATAGCGAGCAAAGATAATTCCTTGTCTAAATGGGCATCTAAAACACCTGAAGAACTTGTCGAGGAGGGGTATGCATCTTCATTAATTCGCTTGCTTTTGTCTGAACATTCGAGCATTAGAAAGGAAGCACTCATAAATATAGTCAAGGTGGCTGCAAAAATCAAGGATTCAACATACGAGAACAACGAACAAGTCTGGCTCCTGCTTATGGAACTTACCGAATCAGCACGAGATTCGCTTACGGACGGGCCCCTACCGAGTGTGATCGTCGCTTTTGCCTGCAAGGCCCTTGAAGTTCTAACGAACCCCTTGCATAGTCTGTATGAGAAGGTCAATCTGTTCCTCACTAGTGGGCCGGTATGGTCATTAGACAAGATACCTCTTATACAAAATATCCTCCAAGAGGGCCCGACTGAAGATGGGGCTTTCTACTCCGAAGTCAGCTGGCTCCTGGGCTTCCTACTCGAAAGCTTACGAACACCCGCGGACGTGGCTCTATTTCATAAACGAAGGGTTCCCGAGAGGTTGTTCGCTCTAACGTCCAACCCCTTTATGGGTCCTAATCTGAGGACGCAAATTTTGAGGATCATCTACAGGATGTCGAGTATCGAGGGGGGAAGCGATACTTTGATCACGAGGTTTGGAGTGGCGAGTTGGCTTCTAGCGCAGAGGGATTTAGCAACAGAGGCTACTGAGCGCGGACTGTATCAAGCGGTGCTTAGAAGATTATGGGAAACCTGTGATCAAAAACGCATCTCAGCGTGGAGCAAGGGCGGCATCGAAAGGCTTGTAGAGTCATGATAGTATCCGTATATACTACCAAAACATAGCCATTTTACATATGCCATAAGCTAATTCAGAGTTACTTATAACTCCCACACATGCATCCCGTTTTCTCTTGTATAAGCTATGATTTATAGTGTAATGTGAAATTCTAGTCGGTTCGCCATAATCGTTGACACGACTAGAGGTCTTAGACAGGGACAACACGTTACCCCTATAGGTCGATATATGTTATATTTTAAGTAGGCAAGGTAACTAAATATGAAAGTTTACCTAACATATGAAAGTCATTTAATATGTAGAAATTGATTATATAATTGCCCTATGGAACTCTTAGCTGACCCAATTTAGGCATCAAAAGCTTGCAGGTATCGACCCACTCAGGCCAGCGTGACGCTAAATTAGCTGTACAATACACTGCATCTGCATAGTACGTCAGGCCTTGCTCTGTGCCTGCTGCCCCTACATGTAATGTTTGGTACATACATGTACATGTCATGCGGCTCGCGGGGATACCTTGTCAGAAGTACATATTTACGTATTTACGTACTTCATACCTTAGGTAGGTACCTAAGGTACATACCCCGAAAGACGGGACACGGGACACGGACCACTTTCTACATTTCCCAGTTCTCATATCTTCAGGGCAATTAATAAACTTCTGGTGGTCTCCTCAAGCAAATATTTAATTATTTGGACAAATGTTTTTGACGTCGGC